ATATTTTCCACACACTAGTAAGACTCTCATCTTGAAGTTTTCCGAAAGTCGATGTAAGCATCCGTTTGTGCTCAGCGGTCGGCTCAGGACCCATAACCTGTTTGTATTTCTGCTTGAGTACAGGATATTCCAACTCAATGTCCTGTCCACAAGTGGTTCCCAACTGGTACAGTTGAGATATCGGATTCGACATGATGTACTAGCGTGTGGAAATAAACCTTTATTTAGGAAAAACTAAAACCACTTTTGTGTCAACTGACCTTCTAAAAAGATCTCTAGAGGGAATTCTCTTCCCTTCATATACTCGTCGTGCTATTTGGTTCCGGGTAAGTGGTGCGAACTTTAATGTCTCATTTGTCACATGATTAATTAGGGCTAAGCGTCTAGTTCTCACAGACAGGACGTGCAGGATTAGTCCGTACAATATAACTGTCAAGTCTCCATTTTAGTATACGAGAGTATGTCAGAGTGCTTTTCTGTCGTTCAGGTCATTGAAGTGTGGACGCAGGCCACCTATACCTCAGATAACCTAAGGAGTAAGTTTACGGGATCCTTTTGGAATTAAGGTCTTATACGTGCGATGGTATACGGATGGTTAAGAAACCTTCATGAGTATTGCGAGGCATGGCCATAACGTTCCGAGATCCCACATACTTCTTTTGTATTTGGGGGTATCCTTTGAATTAAAAGGGTGAGATGATGGATGCCGTCTTGATGGAAGCTGAGTACCCAATTGCAACCAGCCCTTTAGTACGTAGATTTAAGCTAACGTCCATTCGGCTCTGGTTTTGTAGTTGACGAGCCAGCACTAGAGGCCGCCAATGAAACAAGAATCTTGATTTTGACAATAGCGAGCACTTCACTTGTCCAACTCATATCTTTGTGCGCCCATTGTTATTTCGCCTGAAGAGTCTGCTTGATACATGCTGTATGGATGATGCCCCAGAATCGCGGTTGTATATGTGGCGAATACTTGCGAAATACCAATGTGCTTCCTCTGCGCTCACGGCCATATCTCATGTTTGAACGCAAGGGAGATAATTGCTCAAATAGGTTTATTGTGTTCTTTTTCGAGGCGGCTTAAAAGCGGAATGCTCAATTAATAGCGAAATTTTTCAAAAAGTGATTCGAACTTGAGTAGATGTAAAAAGACCAATGTATGTTGCACATTAACAACCTGTTCAATGAGATATAGCTCAGCCCCATGCAATGGCATGAATGCTTCAGTTTAAATACATGAGCAGAGAAAGAATTGAGGCACTGCAATATTTAGAATCTACTTCATGTCTTCGTGCCCACACATGAAAAGGTTGAGATCTTATGGCCGAGCTTCACTTTTTTTCTGTAAATGGCTCAAGTGATATGCGGTATCATGTGTTCTTCAGCTGAGCGCAGCAAGGGCTTTTATCAAGAGCTTTTTCTCATCCAGATGAATTGTCTCGATGATTTCCCTTTTATCGTCTGGAACCTCGCCTATTGGCTTGTACCTGTCCAACCTTTCCTGGATCCATCTCTTCAAAACGCTTTTCTCTGAAGGACTTATCTCCTCTTGTAGTAAGTACTTAGCAATACGTTTCTCCAACTTGCGCTCACTTGGCGAACGGCGAAGCTTGCTGTAGAAGATGTTATAGCTCATTGTAATGAGCCGCAAAATCGCGAGAGTTTGAGGGCTCGGGACTGCGTCAGCCGTGATTTTGGGAGATAGCTGCCAGCTCTCCGGAACCTCTTCTGTTTCGGGTTCATCACAGCAATCATCTATACATCCGGCTTCACAACTGTCTTTTCCCCCTTGATCATCGTCAGAGTTAATCTCCGTGGCGCGTTTCACACAGATTTGGTTAACGATTTCAAAACCACAGCTTTCATACCACAGTATCTTCATATCCAATTGTTGTTCTCCACGTGCCGTCTTCTTGAATTTTTTCAAGTCTCTGAGCATCTGCACCAGAAGAAGACAGGACGTGTTCGGATTCTTGACTGTCACAAACCCATAGCGTTGCAACAAGAACAGATTCAGCAACTCGTTTCCATACGTGTTGAATACCTCAAAGTCATAAAGTCTATCCGGGAGATGCATCAATATGACATCACAACATTTGGATCTGTTTTGGAGTTCCTCGGCAAGTTCTACCTGAGAAGCAGTGGGGTCGACTCTGGTCTCATCGTCCCGAGCATCTTCCTCAATGGATGACACGGTTGAGGCCTCATCGTCGTCTTGTATAGTCTCGGCATCGGAAATCTCCTCGAGATTCTCAATATCCTCCATGGTGATGGGCTTGTCCTCGTCAATCCCTTCATTCTCGAAGATATGATCATCCATGATTTCGGTATCACTAGGATCACGCTCATTCTCACTCTCTGTCTGACTGGCCTCACTTTCTTCCACATTCATATCCTCATCAACCAAAGCGGCCGCAAATTGGTTTTCTTTCACTTCGATGTCGGCGTTTTCATCCTCACTTTCCTGGTCTCCATCGCCCTGGGCGTTTTCTTCGTCTTTCATGTCGTCCATGTCTTCGACATCTTCATCGTCCGATTCGAAATCCATGTGTGCACACTCAGTTTCGCCGCATGTTTCACACACGTTGTCGTCGCATGTGAAGTGCACATTTTCACGCTCCTCCACTATCTTGCCCAAGTCTATCGGCGAGATGTGGTTGAATAAATCTGCCCCAGGAACAAGAGAAAGGCCATGAAACTTATCGACATAGAAAGCCCGAGAGACCACCGTCTGTACACATCGACCAAAAAGCTTGAGGTTCTCTGGATTGGGAGTGGGTGATTCAAACACTGCCGGTATGTGGACCACATCCTTGTTGTTTTGTGCAAAAGTGGAGCATTCAATGTACAAAGCAATCAATTCTGAGCTGTCAAGCATGTCGAGAAGATCGCACTCGGTGTTGAAGAACGCCTGCTTTTCCGTGTCTTCCCACAAACAGAGGGGAATTGGCGAATTTTCCGCAGAAAAAGACAGTAAGTATAAATGCCAGGGAGACTCTTCACCCAAGTCCATTTCGTAGATATACGCAAGCACAAGAGCATGCATACCTGTAGAAAGACCGATGGCTACGTTTGAGGAGGTGTGGTCCACAAGTAGCGAGTAGATGAAGGAGTTTTTGGGCGAAAGCACATGAGATTTCGGAATTCGAAGCAAGATGCCTCTTTTCCCCGGTTCTGTGTCAGTATCTAGACGGAAAAACACGCCCATACCACCCCTTTGAGATGGTTTAATTTCGAGCAATGAGAAGTTCCAAGATGCATTCTCGGCAAGCCAGGTCTGGAGCCCTTGCATTCTTGCAGATTCGGTGGCAGACATTTTGACGATTTTTTGAAGGCCGCAAGATTGGCTGAAAAATGGACAGGCGTTGGACTGAATTTTTGTGTATCAGCGCTGTTACACATAGCCCGGCGATGAGATGACGTACAAGACCGGACACAATGTCCAGACTGCATAGCAGGGATTTAGTGATTACATCACAAACACAATTTGGTGAGTTTGGGGTTCTACCGCAAATGGAGATTTGAGCGTGCCATGCTGGTGATAATTTGATTTTTGATTGAAATTAGCGCTGGCTGGATATATGTATATTTTACGTTCTATCCACATATCACTTGAAACCAAGGGTTTGCAGACTACGGGGCTGATTTCTCCCAATTCAAGTGAGGACCTCTAAGTCAAGAAATGGCGCGGCTATAAGCGAAATATCTGCACTTCAATTAAGAACAGTTGTGCTCTCCATTGACTGGGGTTTGGATTCCATGGACTTGGTTTTTCTATTTGAGTGCTTCTATTGAAGGGCGAGCAGGAAGCCCGAAGAGTATAATCGAATTTTAAGCTTTTGTCAACTGAAATCAGCCATGACGAATGAGAATAGAGCACGCGGGTTAGGTATTAATGTTTCCATGAGGGACATTCATTCATTTTCTAAAATGAGCCCTTGAGCTCATACCGCGCTAATAAGCAGGTTTATCTGGGTCCTGGCGTAGAACGCAAGAATAAAACACTCAAAATCTACAGCATTTCAAAACAAGTCACGTGAGTCCAAGATTTTCAGACTTTGGGCCGTGCCCTTTGAGTGTACATGGTGTTCAGTTCTCTATCAAAATCAACTCCAAATCTCGCACCCGACGCCCTGGTGCAAGACCTGGATTCTAATGTTCGTGCACATAACGCACAAGGTTACCCGGCCCTCAGTCAGAAACCTATATAAGCAGCGCGCATCCCAGCTCCTTAGTTTTTGAGAACCAACCATTAGTAGTGGTTATACTACTCTATACTAAGTATAACTTTGCGCCTTCGGGCGCACTACTGTAAAGACCTAGTTTTACCCTAAGTACGCCGCATTAGCGATAGCGTGAACTGGGTATTAACGTTCAGCTAAGAGTATATTCCTGACCTTTTTAACAGATTGGCCACAGGATACTTTTCGTTTCGGTCTTTTAGAGCTTCGCATTTTTAAGGTTTTAGAATAGTTCCGCCGCTAGCCATGTCCTTTTGGGTGTGTCGTTGCGCGGGGGATTAAAGCCTGGTGCTACATTCCATTTCGTAATCCCCATTCTTGTAGTTTCAGCTCTTGTCAAACGAGCGATGAGTCGAACATCCAGTCCGCATCTTTAATACCGGCCATTGGGCGAAACGACAATCTGGGAGCTCGCGTGCCATCATGCTGCTCACGTGACTCAAACCCGCGGATCCCCGGTAGGAGGGTCACGTGATCAGGATTTGGGACATCGGGCAGCGAAGTTCGACCACACTGCCAGTCCTCGAAATCTATCCGAAATACACACAAGCAATGGCACACAGATTACTCGTTAACGTGGTGTTGACAGGAGCCACAGTCTTTGGTCGTGCATTCACCGAGGCATACAAGCAAGCAGCCAAAGCCAGTGCCACGGCGCAAGCCACTGGGGCCACGAAGGCAAAATCTGCTGGTGGTATTCCCTTGGACGAGGCCATGAAGATCTTGGATATCGACCGCAAGAATTTGAGCATGGAAGAGATTGACAAGAAGTATGACTATTTGTTTGACGTCAACTCAAAGGACAAGGGTAATTCGTTCTACTTGCAGTCGAAGGTGTATTATGCAATGGACGCTTTGAAAAAGGAGCTAGAATATCTACAGAAAGTGAAAGCGAGCGAGAAGGAGCCGTCCACGTAGGCAGGCTGTGGTGTGAAAGGGAGAGATTTTGGAAGTCGAGTAGATGACTCATGGCTCCTGATTGATGGAAAGCAGACGGCAGATGTGACTGTGCATCAGGAGTGATGTTTGAACAGTCTCGATGTATATATGTGCCAAGTATTCTATAGGAAAGCACGACAGTGTTCGTATCTGGTGTAGGAGTGGAGATCTGCGGAAAGTATACCTATGGAAAGCGAGACAAAGAAAAGAGGGGGAAGGGATGGATAGCAAGAGTGTTATTACGACTCTATACAAGCTCCAGAGTGTTCCACAGATGATAGGGCTAGCATGGATTGAAAGAGATGGAAATACAGGTGAGTCGAGTCACGAAGGAGTGAGAGGGCCAAGTCTGTTGGTGAATTGTGAGAGGAGAAAGTTCAACAGCAAAAATGGAGAGTCTCAAGTGAGGAATCTAGAAGCAGATAAGTGAATGCAGAGAGAGGAAACGGGAGGTCTATAGGGTAAGCATGACGATTTTCGTGAGAATGTATGGTGATACATGAATCAAGAAGAAAGCCGAGATCCGGGGGCGTTCCAATAGAGAGGAGTGAGATGAACAGAGAAAAGCTAGATGAATAGAGAATATGGCGATATCTAGGAGACGAACTGGGGAAGCCCAGAAAAGTGGGGCTTGAGAAAGGAAAGTAATGTGTGGATGATTTGATCGGTGTGTGAAGAAAGGTAGAGAAGAGAGTCAGTTGTGTATTGCAAATGAGCGTTTAGTGGGCGGGTAGAGGGGCACACTTTACGGGTAGAGATGAACACACTATGGGTAGCAAACTGAATTCATGGGCGGAGCACTCGAGATGCCTTGGAGCACATAACCAGATGAATTAGCATTGGAATGACAGAAGATGTGCAAGTGGACAGATCCTGAGATGTGCGGCGAATAATGCAGGCGCAGAAAAAGATCTAGAGTCGCCAAGGGTTTAAATAC